GTCCATTTATATAATTTTTTAAAGTTTTTTTGAAAGGTAGAGTGACACAGAGGGAAGGAGAGAGAGAGAGAGAGAGAGAGAGAGAGAGAGAGATCGAGATCGAGATCTTCCATCTGCTGGTTCATTTCCCAAATGGCCACAACAGCCGGGGTTGAAGCAAACTGAAGCCAGGAGCATAGAACCCCATCTGGGTCTCCCATATGGGTGGCAGGAGCACGAGTACTGGGGCCATCATCTGCTGCCTCCCAGGGTGCTTGTTGGCAGGAAGCTGAATGGGATGTGAAGTCAGTATTGAAACCTGGGCACTGTGATGGGATGTAGGCACCCTCACCAGGGCATCAACCACTGTGTGCTATACGTTTTAAAAATCAAAACAACACAGAAACTTCCTGAAGGCTATCTTGGCCCTGGCTCAGGACCCTCCACACCAGGTGACATGACTGACACACACCCAGGAACTCTTCTCCTGGGAGCTCCTCTCTCGCAGGTTTGCCTGTGAAGGGGTGGGCCCGATTGCAGCGGGCAGCGTGGAGAGCAGGTCTCCAGGGGGCCACCGCACATTTGCAGAGAGAGTTGCCAGGCACACCCACAGTCATTCCCTGTGTCTTCATGTTCACCTCACTCACACTCCCAGGCTGCCGTCACTGGGCTGCTGCTGGCCTGTTTGCCGGCAGGCTCGACCCCGTGGGCCACTGTAAGAAACAAGCCTCAGAGTGCATCTGTCCTTGGGAGACGGCGGGACACCTGCCCTGACCGTACACCCTGGAGAAAAAACTGGCCTCCAAGAATGCTCTTCCCTCTCTAGCACTTGCTTGCTTTCACCTGGTGGATGTTGTGAATGTTTAACTTATCACCCTCTGGTTAGCTGCCAAAAAGCTTAGAGCCAGATTTGTGGCTCACCCATGACAAATGTGCGCTATGCCTCGTTAACCTCAGTCCTGGCTCCGGCTGATGTCTCCGCTCTAGTTATTCTTGCTTAAGGAAATGTTAACTCATGCCGTTGTTCACCTATTTTTTTCCCATAAGCAAGCAGTCTTAGGTTGTTTCCACAGTAGTTCAGATTGTGATTAGTGCGTCCATACAATCATCTTGGGCGCCTCTTAGTTACTTCATTGACTTGACCTTTTGTCCTTAAGGTAGATACAAAGATGATATAGATGAAAACAGGTTATTCAGAGTTTTGATGACATGAAAAGGGTTATGACACAAAGTTTTATTGTCTTTTTTATTATTTCTTTCTTTTTTTTTTTTTTAATTTATTTGAGAGGCAGGTCCACAGAGAGAGAGGTCTTAACATCCGTTGGTTCACTCCCTAAATGGCCACAATGGTCAGAGCCGGGCAATCCAAAGCCAGAAGCCAGGAGTCTCCTCCGGGTACCCTACGTGGGTGCAGAGACCAGACCACCTGGGCTGTCCTCCACTGCCCACCACCCCCCTCCAGGCCATCAGCAGAGAGCTGGATCAGAAGAGGAGCAGCCAGGACAGGAACTAGTGACCACACAGGATGTCAGTGCCGCAGGCGGAGACCCAGCCCACTGTGCCACAGCACCAGCCCTTATTTCATTTGTTTCAAAAGCAGAGTTAGGACAGATCTTCTGTCTGCTGGTTCACTCCCCAAATGGCCACAATGGCTAGGGCTGGGTGGACTGAATCCAGGAGCCAGGAACATCTTCCAGGTCTCCCACATGGGTGCAGGGGCCCAAGCACTTGGGCCATCTGCTGCTGCTTTCCCAGGGGCATTAGCAGGACTGGATAGGACTGGAACCAGCACCCATATGGGATGTTGGCATTGCAGGTGGCAGCTTAACCGCTATACCACATTCCAGCCCGTGGTTTAAAATTTTTGATTCACTCATTCGAGAGAGAGAGAGAGAGCGAGATGTCCCTCCTGTGTGTGTGGCAGGGACCCAACTACTTGAGCCTCCCAGAGTGTGCATTAACAGGAAACACAAGTCAGGAGTGGAGATGAAACTGTAACCCAGGCTCTCTGACATGGGATGTGGGCTTCCCAATTGGTGTCTTGATCACCAGGCCAAATGCCCACCCCATGCTGTTTTAATAGTGCACCCAAGTGGTGAAATAGCCGGTCTGCTGGCCGGAGTTGATGAAATTGATGCCGTCGTCCCAACCCTGCCTTTGCAGCAGCGTTGCTGGTTTCTCACAGTTGAGCTCTGCTTCTCACTCTGTGCTCTGCAGGTGGCCTTTTGTTGCTGTGTGGGGCTCAGGAAGTGCTACCTACAGTCAGTGTACAGCACTCGGCTCCGAGCCTTCCGTGGATCATACCGTCTGTGGCCATCAGCCTTTCTGTCCCAGAGGTGTCCTTCCTGGTGAGCTTGAGGCTGTCAGCCCTCATGCAAGAAGCCTTACCTGGGGCGGCGCTGTGGCATGGAAGGTTCCTCTGCCTGCAGGGCTGGCATCCCATGTGGGCGCCGGTTCTAGTCCTGGCTGCTGCTCTTCCAATCCTCCTCCCTGCTAATGTGCCCAGGAAGGCAGCGGAGGGTAGCCCGAGGCCTTGTGCTCCTGCACCCACGTGGAAGACCCAGAGGAAGCTCCTGGCTCCTGGCTTGGGCCTGGCCCAGCTGGGGCCACTGGGGGCATTTGGAGAGTGAAACGCAGATAGAGGATCTCTCTCCTTCTCTTTCTGTGTCTCTGCCTTTCAAATACATAACTAAATCTTAAAAGAAGAAGGAGAAGAAGGAGCAGTAGCAGCAGCCTTACCTGGCTTCTGCTCCCAGTTAGTGTCTTTGGACAAGATAATATGAATAGATGTTTATTTACATTTGCTTTAATTGGCTTGGAGCTCTGTCTGGATTTTCTGATTACCATAATAATATCTAACTGATAACTCTCATTTGTACAATTTTAACTTTTGTAAACATTTGTATCTATTTATTTGAAAGGCAGAGAGAGAGAAAGAGATGTTCCATCCACTGGTTCAGTCCCCAAATGGTCTCAACTGCCAGGTCTGGGCCAGGCCAAAGTCAGGAGCCAGGAACTCCATCCTGGTGTCCCACATAGGCAGCAGGGGCCTGGGTACATGGGCCATCCTCTACTGCCTTCCCAGCAGGGAAGCTGAATCAGAAGCAGATAAACCAGGACTCAAACCTGGCACTCAGATATGGGATGCCTACATTGCATGCAGCAGTAGCTTAAACTAAGCCACAACACTTGCCCCTTTAAACACTTTTAGTAAAATAAACTTCAAATAAACTTACTTCGCCTTTACTACAACTCTCTTAAGTTAAAGTAGGTAGGTGCCCTTTTTACAGATATTATCTGTAAAACACAGAAAAATAATTTCAGTGACTGCTGAAAATTATATTAGCAAATCAGTCGTAAAAACTAGAGCTAGGAGGCTGGCATTCAGCATTGCAGAATCCCATATGGATGCCAATTCATGTCTCAGCTGTTTCACCTCCAGTCCAGCTCCTGCTAATACCCTGGGAAAAGCAGCAGAAGGTGGCCCACGTGGTTAGACCCCTGCCACCCACATGGGAGACCTGGAGAAGCTCCTCTTGAGGAGCAAACCGCAGATGTAAGATTCGCTCTCTCCCTCTGTGTCTGTCCCCCACCTGTAACTACTTTTCAAATAAATAATAAATAAATCTTTAAAAAAAAAAAAAAAGCAAACCAGGATTGGGGGCTGGCATTGTGGCATAGCAGGTTAAGCTAACATCTGTAATGCTGCATCCCATGTGAGCACCAGTTGGAGTCCTGGCTGCTCCACTTCCAATCCAGCTCCCTGCTAATGCATCTGGGAAGGCAGCAAAAGATGGCTGGAGTACTTGGGCCCCTGCACCCACATGGGAGACCTAAAGCAGTTCCTGGAACTTGGTTTCAGCTTGGCCCAGCCCTGATCATTGTGGCCATTTGGAGAGTGAACCAGCAGTTGGAAGATTTCTCTCTCTCTCTCTCTCTCTCTCTTTTTCACTGCCTTTCAAGTCAATAAATAAATGTTTAAAGAAAAAAGAGAGAGGGAGGAAGATAATATCATAATGTTCTTAGAATTGTATCTACAAACTATATTGAATAGGATCTGTTAAAACCTAATTTAAATTAAAAAAAAGAAAGAAACCTAGGGATAGACCCAGATCTCTTGATTCTTATGCCATACTGCCTTTAAAAAGTCCAAAATAATTTCCAGCATACATTATAAACATCACAGAGTCTTTACCCTTTAACGTTGAGGATGAGAAATGAGCAGACGTGTTGTTCACTGTGCATGTGAGTGGGCAGACGCAGGAAGGAATTTCATCTGTATCACTCCCAAGATTTTCTATTCTTGAAATCACAGTTCCTTTTAACTATGATTCTCCTCACTGTCATTTTCCATTATGTAAGGAGGAAGTCATGTTTTATCTTATCTCTTAAAAATTAATGTTGAAATGGAAACTATTTCCCTTGATAATTAGTAACTTTTTCTCCAGACTCTGAATTCATATTTGGTATAAAAACAATTTCCTATTATTATTCATTAAGGAACCAAATATATGGTCAATGCTAAGGTGTTTGGTAAAACATCAGCTATAATTTATACCAATCTGTGTGTTTAAAGAGGGAATCAGTCCAGCTATTAAGACATCTGTGTCCCATATTGGAGTCCCTGGGCTTTGATCTGGGCTCCAGCAGATCCTGGGAGGCGTATTGGCTCAAGTAACTGGGTCCCTGCCACCCACACGGGGGAGTCTGCATTGAGTTCTCAGCTCAGGTCTTCAGCCCCAGTCCAGCCCCAGCCACTGTGGGCATTCGAGTAGTAAAGCAGCAACTGGGAGCTCGTTCTCTCTCTCTCTCACTCTCTCTGTCTCTCCACCTCTCAAATAAATAAGTTCAAAAAACTTTAAAGAGGAAATTAAAAATGCATGCTTACTGTCTACATGGAAAATTTCCAAAATTTTTCTAATTGTTTGCCTACAACACATCAGCTAAAGTCTCTTGAGTGTTTACGCTTAGCCAGGCATTGTTGCCAAACTGTTTCTAACTGCATCTCATCTCGACCACAGCCCGAATCTCAGCAAGGTGCCGCACTGAGCCGTAAGTAACTTCTGCCTCTCCTTCAGCTGCTGAGGTCAGGGCAGGATGGACCCCGTAGTGCTGAGCTACATGGACAGCCTGCTGCGGCAGTCAGACGTGTCACTGCTGGACCCCCCAAGCTGGCTCAACGACCACGTTATTGGATTCGCCTTCGAGTACTTTGCCAACTGTCAGTTCCGTGACTGCTCCGACCACGTCTCCTTCATCAGCCCTGAAGTCACCCAGTTCATCAAGTGCACCAGCGACCCAGCCGAGGTCGCCTTGTTCCTGGAACCCCTGGGCCTCCCCAACAAAAGGGTTGTGTTCTTAGCCATCAACGATAACTCCAACCAGGCAGCGGGGGGAACCCACTGGAGCTTGTTGGTTTATCTCCAAGATAAAAATAGCTTTCTGCATTATGATTCCCACAGCAGGAGCAACTCAGTCCACGCAAAGCAGGTGGCGGAGAAACTGCAGGCTTTCTTAGGCAGACACGGAGACAGCCCGGCCTTTGTGGAGGAGAAAGCCCCCGCCCAGCAGAACAGCTACGACTGTGGGATGTATGTGATATGTAATGCTGAGGCCTTGTGCCACGGCTTCTTTGGCCAGCAGCCAGAGCCTCTGCTGCAGCTGCTCACCCCCACATACATCACAAAGAAGAGGGCGGAATGGAAAGAGCTCATCGCCAGACTTGCTAAAAATTAGCTCATGACGAGTATCTGTGACAGGAGCCTCCTCCTCCTGCCTCCCCCGTGTGTCAGACGGCTGCAGTCTCCATGCCTGAGGGAGGAGGCCCGGCGGGGGCACCGTGACCTCTTCCTGCCGGAGAGTGGGCATCCCCCGCTTATCTGATGGAGGTTTTACTTAAACCTGACTTGAGAGCAGTATGTGCTGTGAGTTATGCACCAGAACCTTAACACCAGCTTATCTTAGCATTTATTACACACAAAGTGCAAGGAAAACTTTTCTTACTGGTATAAAATTAATCCCTGAGGTCTCCCTTACCTACATGGGCTTATCCAAAAAAAAGGCAGTGATCTGTAAAACAAATCAGGAATACATGAAGTCTGGAGGAGTGAGAGAAGAAAGCCATTTGGAAGAGCCAAAAAGCTGTTGCACCACAGCCTGCGTAATTTACAAACTCCACTGGCCAGAAGCAGATCACAGCCTGACCTCCGACCTCTGACCTCACCCCAGACCAGATATTACAAGAGTCAGTGATCAGGTCTGTGATCTCTTCCATTCACCGCGCAAAGGCTTTCCCTTTGCAAATATTTGATAAAAACGGTGTTGGCCCATCTCCCTCTGTCTGGTTCCTGGAATGCTTTAAGGACACACGGGAGGTCTTGAATAACTGCATACAATGAATGGCTGTGGTGGCCTCTCAGTGTGCTCAGCGCCTGGCCGACCGGCCCCCCCTCGTTGCTGGCCCCAGCCCTGGCTGTGGGCCACGCACGCTCCCTCCTGACGTCGAGTCCTCTGGCTCTAAAATTCATAGCTGGTAACTTCCCAGGTGTGCCTGTCGTTTCAAACACTCGCTGGTAGTTACAGTTTTTCCTCTCAATCCTTAACCTGGCACAGCTGTTCTCGGTTCAGTCACGGTGGTTTCAGGACTATTAGTGCATCTGAAACTCGGACATGATTTGTTTTTGAAATACAAAAGAAGAAAAGGGACCTTTCTCAACCCTTTCACTTAATTCAGAATGCAGAGTGTGATTTTTAAACTGGAATCCTGAGTGAAAACTCCGCCCCCTCCCCGCAGCACGGATGTGGTTTTGTAGTTAGTGCAGATCATTCACAATCACATGATAAATTGGGCATACACATCAATTCTGTTCCCAATGAGAATTAGATTACGGTACGTAGGAGACTTGAAAACCAAAGATTAGCTTCAGCCGGGAAACTTGCTCCAGCTACCTCCCCATCTCAGCCCTGCCCCCAGCCCCCAGCCCAGAGTAACCTCACCACCTCATGAGGCCAAGGCCGTAACTCAGTTCCTTTTAGCCACGAAGGGGAACACAGTACTGGTGAGTACAGGTTCCGTAGCAGGCCTGAGTGAACCGGAGTTGAAACTGGAAGTCAAAGAGAAAGCCCAGAAGTTTCCATTTCAGCCCACTGGCTTGGGAAAAAGGGAACCCAGGAGCAGGTGTTTGCCTTCGCTCGTAAGATTCCAGCATACCGGGCTGGGCGTTTGTGCTGCCAGTAAAACCACGGCTTGCAACACAGACACCACATATCACAGTGTCGGTTCAAGTCTGCCTGTTCTAGCGCTCTGCTAATGTGCCTGGGAAGGCAGATGATGCTGGCCTAAGTGCTTGGGCCACTGACACCCACATGGGAGACCAGAATGGAGTTCCTGGCTCCTGGCTTCAGGTTGGCCTGGCCCTAACTGTTGTGGCCATTCGGAGAGTGAGCTAGCAGATGGAGGATTCTCTCTCTCTCTCTCTCTCTCTCTCTCTCTGCCTTTCAAATACATGAAAACAAATAAATGCCTTTTCTAAGTAACAGAATTTAAGGTTGGTTTGTCTGTTAGTATTTCACCAGATACTGTAATAGCGCGGGAGGGGTGCACTTGCTTGTACAGCATTGTTACATGATACAAAATAGGAAGACCTTTTTGCTGGCATTGTGTTCCCTCCTCTCCTAGAGGCAAAAGGATGCAGGAAACCAGGTTCAGCTTCAAAGTCTGTAGTTGTTACGCAGGAGTATTGTGCAAGTACTAAAAGCAGATCACGCAGCACTGCTTCCAGATGTCCTGTTGTGTTGCCCTGTAGGTGCACCTCAACTCGTCCCACCTGTGTGTGATTAAGGCAGGTCACCTGTTAATCCCCACTGTAGATGGTGGCAAAAGGACAGATACCTGTGGGTTTTCTATTTATGCGTCAGTTTCCGCCCTTGGCTAGTCTCTGTGGGCATTCACAAGCACTGGTCCTAACCAGAGCAGAAAAATGTAACGGTTACGAGAGGGTTATCTTCCTGATAGAAGAAGCCTTATGATTTTGACTGCACTCTCATTTTTATGATACACATATTGACCGTATGTTTAAATAAGCACTCCACCGAAATGGCAAAGTAGAATTTCTCAGTCCCACAGTTCTTAGAATGAAAACGAAGGGTTTTTTTCTAACATCACTTAGAAAAGGAAGAATAGTTAGGGAAATTTACACGCCGTGGCGTTGGAAAGAGCACAGCTGCTTTCATCAGATCCTGGCTCTACGAGTCGCAGGCTCACAGCCTCAGCTGCAGAGTGCAGCTAGGCCTCTGAGACGGACACCATACGGATTAAGGAGCAAAGGGAAGCAAATCACAGGCCCGAAAATAGACCTGCTTCCCCTCTCTCCCACCACGTTCCATTTTAAGACCAACAGCAAATCCAGAAACGCGGTTTCATGTTGCCGTGCAGCTGAACAGCCGTGTGAGAGCAGGCCTGGGGAGTAGGGTACCGTTAGGTTCAAAGGGACACAGGAGGATGGCGAAGGGCCACAGCTGGCCTTTGTGTCACTGCCTCGCGGGTGCTGCATGACACGCGCCACCATACACGCTGCTACATATCTAAAGTGCCTTGTCCGCTGCGTTTAGCTCCCGTTTTTCCTGTCCCCATTTCCTTGTTAAATTAATCAGAAATGCAGAGATGCTGGTCACAAGGCCGCCAGCTCCATCTCATGGCCTTTCCTGCTGTTCCCTGCTGCCTCCCTGGAAGTGGCGGTGAGGATTACCTGTTTGAGCATTTCCAGTGTTTCCCCACCTCACAGAGAGCTGGCGTGGCAGAAGCCAGCAGTGAGAAGCCCGTGGTCATCTGAGCCGCCAGGCGGCAGGACCGGGAGGGCAGCGGCTCTGTTGTCTCTGGGTCACGTTTGCATGAGCTCCTCACGGCCACCTGCTGACCTGAGGAACTCTGAGAGCCCTGCACAGCACCTCCTGTGTGAGCTCCCCTTTCGTGGTCCGGGAACCCAGCCAGAGGGAGTGCAGCGAGAACAGCAGCCTGGGGAACCTCAAAGAAAGGCACGGCCTAAGGGAACCTTGTCAGTACTGGGACTAAGCAGAGGGCAGGCTTGCACAAAGGTGGGAAAATGGTTGCTACGTTCCAAATGAGGCTAAAGTTCCAACGAGGAAAAATCAAGCAATAAATGAGCCGAAATGTCCTTTCCTAGACAAAGGGTGTGGTGGCCACCTCCCGGGCCAGCGGCAGGGAACAGCTGTCATCACTGAAAACTATCACGCAGTTCCTGTTAAAATAAGGTGCCGGTGCCGCGGCTCACTAGGCTAATCCTCCACTTTGCGGCACCAGCACACCGGGTTCTAGTCCCGGTCGGGGCGCCGGATTCTGTCCCGGTTGCCCCTCTTCCAGGCCAGCTCTCTGCTGTGGCCCGGGAGTGCAGTGGAGGACAGCCCAAGTGCTTGGGCCCTGCACCCCATGGGAGACCAGGAGAAGCACCTGGCTCCTGCCATCGGATCAGCACGGTGCACCAGCCACAGCACGCCGGCTGCGGCGGCCATTGGAGGGTGAACCAACGGCAAAGGAAGACCTTTCTCTCTGTCTCTCTCTCTCACTGTCCACTCTGCCTGTAAAAATAAATAAATAAATAAAAAGACAAGATAAGGGCTGCCTCTGGGGTCTCTTTTTTCCATGTGCAACACCGAGCAAACTGAACGAGCTGAGACAGGCTTTCCCAGCAGGCTCTGCTGCTGGCCAGCCCACACCTGCCCATCCACCTGCTGCCTCAGTCCCCTCCCTTCAACCTGCAGAGCCCAGGCTGCCTCCTTCACAGAGAAAAGAGAAGCCACCGGGCATGAAAGCCAACTTCCGGGATGCCAGCTCCATCAACCTTCAAAGTGTGCACACTCGTCTCTGACCTCCTCCACTCCTGTCACAGAGACCCTGAGCTAAGGCTGAGCCCTGCTTGGTGACAGGGATCCTGAGCAAGGAGCTCCTTTGTGCACACACACACACACACACACACACACCGCTACCCTGTCTCCACTGGCTCCTTCCCATCATCACTGAAATCTGTAAAACCTCCCAGCCTCAGAATAAACGGAAGCATGAGCCCACGTCTCTGTTGGTGCTGATGTTTTGCCTTCTCCTCTTTGTGCCCAGGTCTAAAGTGTCTATGGTCAGGGTCACCAGCCGGCACCTCCCTCCCACTCCTCGGCCTGCTTTAATCTGGATTCTGCCCCATGCCCCACTCCTCAAAAAGCTCTCCAATCACTAATCATTCTGATTAGGCCTCTTAGCAACATTAAATCCTCCTCTGGGGGCTGGCATTGTGGCACATTGTGGCACAGCAGGTTAAAGCAGGTACTTGAAATATCAGCATCCCATGTGAGCGCCAGTTCCAGTCCCAGCTGCTCCACTTCTGATCCAACTCCCTGCAAATGCGCCCGGGGAGGCAGCAGAAGATGGCCCAAGTGCTTGGGACCCTGCACCCAGCTGGGAGACCCAGATAGTGCTTCAGACTCCTGGCTTCAGACTAGACCAGCCACAGGCATTGCTGCCGTTTGGGGAGTGAATCAGTGGATAGGAGATCTCTCCTTCTGTCTCTCCCTGTCTGTCTCTTTCTCTCTCTCTCACTCTGCCTGTCAAATAAATATTTTTTTAAAAAATTGGGGGGGGAGTGCTTGACATTTAGCCTACTAGTTAAGACTCCCGTGTCCCATATCAGAGTACCTGGGTTCATCTGCTGACTCTTGACTTCAGCTTCCTGCTAATGCAGACCCTGCGAAGCTGTTGAGTCCCTGTCACTCCCAGCTCCTGGCTTCAGCTCAGTCCAGCCCTGGCCCAGCCCCAACCATCGTGGGTATTTGGGGAGCAAACCAGCAGTTGGGATCTCTCTCTGTCTCTGCCTCTCAAATAAGTCTTTTTTTTTTTTTTAATATTTATTTATTTGAAAGGCAGTTACGCAGAGGCAGAGAGAGAGAGAGAGAGAGAGAGAGAGAGAGAGAGAGAAAGGGAGGTCTTCCATCTGCTGGTTCACCGCTAAAATGGCTGCAACAGCTGGAGCTGGGCCAGTCTGAAGCCAGGAGCCAGGAGCTTCTTCCAGACTCCCAGGCCTGTGCAGGGGCCCAAGGACTTGGGCCATCTTCTACTGCTTTCCCAGGCCACAGCAGAGCTGGATCAGTAGTGGCGTAGCCAGGACTCAAACCAGCACCCATACAGGATGCCGGCCCTGCGGCTTTACCTGCTACCCCACGGTGCCGGCTCAAATAAGTCTTTTTTTTTTTTTTTTTTTTTTTTTTTTTTTTTTTTTTGACAGGCAGAGTGGACAGTGACAGAGAGAGACAGAGAAAGGTCTTCCTTTGCTGTTGGTTCACACGCCAATGGCTGCCGCGGCTGGTGTGTTGCGGCCAGCGCCCCGTGCTGATCTGATGGCAGGAGCCAGGTACTTCTCCTGGTCTCCCATGGGGTGCAGGGCCCAAGCACCTGGGCCATCCTCCACTGCACTCCCTGGCCACAGCAGAGAGCTGGCCTGGAAGAGGGGCAACCGGGACAGAATCCAGCGCCCCGACCGGGACTAGAACCCGGTGTGCCGGTGCCACAAGGCAGAGGATTAGCCTGGTGAGCCGCGGCGCCGTCCACGTTGCTTCTTAACGCCTAAGAACTGTCGTCCTTTCCATGTACCCGAGTCAGACAGTTCTGGTGCCTGATCCTCATTCCCGTTAAACATAAGAGCCCCAGACGGCCAAGACCAAGCTGATT